TCGAAATAACGTCCCGGGGCGTTATTTCGCGACGATACGGTATCAAACGCAGCGGAGGTGCTTGTAACTAATTTCATCAATCTCACCAATAATGATAAAATTATTTTACTACTATGGTTTAATTTTATCAACGTCTTTAGTTCCAAAGTGAGACTTAGGATGAGACTCGATTCATCGTAAGCTAATCTAAGTTAACTTAATCCAAGCTAAGTTAATTAGGAATGATCATGACTTAGTAAACTGTGACTCGAATCGAGTTAACCTGGCCCGTAAGTCGATTCTTAGATCGACTCGATTCGGTTCGAGCAGAGCCGGGTCAGTTTAACAGTCGTTTTACGGATCAAGTTAACTAGATTCGAGTTATCCTAATTAACTTGGCTTGGTTAAATTAATTCAGCTTAAGTCAAGCTAGATCAGTGTGAATTCCATCTCTAGGTGAGACGATATCTTGTCATCTTATATTTTCCAGAGCTTGAGAGTACAAAATGAATTATTTTAATCGAAGTAAATTAATGGAATCCAAATGAATTTCTTTAGCGAATGTTCAAGACCTTGCTTGTTCTATGCAAAATTTTACATTACTGGCTTTGAAGTCATTATAAGTCTACCTTATTTTAGTTAGAGGTTCCGAAATACTTTGCGGGCGATTCACATGATCATATAATATGGTCATGTGAATTATCACGTGTATATCTAGATTTCGTAGTACGTACGTACGTACGTACTGTGCATACGTATTCATGATTAGAGCTTCGATACGTATGATTTGTTAACTATATCTTAGTCATTTAGCGAATGTTCGAATAATCCGAATAATTCGAATATTGTTCAAAGAGAAAATGAAGCTCTACTCATGGTCTTTTAAAATAAAGACGCGAAATTGCAAAATTACGAAATTGAATCATAAAAGCGAAAGTTAATCTGTTAAGATTTTAATGAAAATAATATCAGTCTCAAAAATTGTTATATGATAAAAACAGGTTTATACTCTGATTTAGATTGTTTATTTATAGTTTTTTGAGTTTTGAAGTTTTGTATGTCGTGACACTTACCTTGAAAGTATCGTGCGACGGACAATCTGTTAGCATCTTTATGATAATGTTATGATCAATTACTCTCTTATTTTCGTATCACTATAAACCGTATCAATCATATATAAAAAAAATGAATGCACATGCCGGCGAAAATCAAAACTATAAAGTGAGGCAACTGCCTCAATCCATCAACTCAAAAGCGCTCGGTGCACACCCTGACTTTCTTACAAATAAATCATGTCAAATTATAATTTCTCAGCGAGAGACCGCGCCAATTCCTCATCTCGGTCTTACTCGTCAGACCACCCACCTCAGCGTCCACCTCCTTCTAGTAGGACCTCCGCTCTCAATTTAAACAACTTGTTGAATTCAGACGATCAACCTATGTCACACACATCCAGCCACTTTTCACTTCCTCCATTAGCTTCTCACGCGGCACCACCTTATACTCAGCCGACTCTATCGTTTTCTTCGTACACTTCACAAACGAACAACACGCAT